TGGGTGAACACTTTCAAGGGTGGCTGTAGGGTAGGGAGTGGGACAGGGAGTGGATGGGACAGATGGTAAGAGACACTTTTTTTTTTCTAAGACAAGGCCTGCCTTTGTAGTTCAGGCTAGCCCCAAACCTACCAGTATTCTCCTACCTCAGTCTCCAAAGTGCTGGGACTACAGGTGTGTGCCACAGTACTCTGCACATTATATTTTTTTATACAAAAAAGATGTGTGAGAATCCAACTCCCTCTTAAAGCTTGTATTGTCTGTTTCTCGAGACATGTAATATTTTGTGGAAAATCAGGGTCAGAGTCCCTGGAGCTGTGGCTTTGGAAAGAGGCCTTTTGGAGGGGTAAAGGGTATGGACAATTCAGAGTCTCCTACAAGAAGACTCCAGAGTAGAAATGGCGGGGTTTTTGTTCAGAAATGGGGAACAAGCCGGGCATGGTGGCACATGCCTGTAATCCCAGCACTCGTGAAGCTGAGGCAGGAGGATTGTTGTGAGTTCAAGCCCCGCGTGGGCTATAAAGTAAGCTCAAGGCCAGCCTGAACTGCATAGGGAGACCCTGCCTCAAAACGACCAAAAAAAGGAAAAGAAATGGGGAACAAAACAATCAGGCAATAGAAACAGCCTCCTCTTCCCCTTTCTTCCTTTTGCAATTGAGAGAAATATGTAATTTTTTTCATAGTGTGAGAAAAAAATGTGAGGTTTCTGTTGATTTGGGGACTGATCTTCAAATGTGTTTTCACCCTTGGCCTTTCCCACAGTATAAATTGGTTTCAGAGATGAACCAGCAGTGGCTGAGCAAGCACCTGCTGCTTGCAGACCCCGTGCGTATCCAGCACTGTGCTGAGTCCTAGGGACAAACTTGGGATATCAAGACAGCAGCCGGTCTTCAGGCCTTTAGTCTTGGTCTTGCTGTGCTTAGGGACAGCGGAGGACTGCCAGGTCCTTGAAAGGCCACTTCTAAGGGCTCCCTTCAGCGGCCCTTCTCTTCTGTCCTCAGATTGCTCCTTGTTTGTCTCCTCCTCCCCCAAACCTCTTCCTCTGGTGGCTAATGCCCCTCCATTTCCCTTTGCTTCCTTTCTTGCTATGCAGTTCAGGTTGGCTTTGAGCGCACTTTGTAGACCAGGGTGGCCTCAAACTCGCAAGGATCCTCCTGCTTCAGCCTCCCGAGTGCTGGGATTACAAGCATGTGCCACCACTCCTGGCTGCTTCCTTTTATTGAATTATGCTCTTCCAAAACTAAACTGAGGGCTGGGGATATAGCTCAGTGGCATAAGTGTCTGCCTGGCAAGCGCAAGGTCATGATTTCGATCCCCAGTACCACAAAAAAAAAAAAGTTCTATAATCCTAGTACTCAGGAGGCTGAGGCAGGAGGATTGTTGCGAGTTTGAGACCAGCCTGGGCTACAAAGTGAGCTCAAGGCCAGCCTGAACTGCATAGTGAGACCCTGTCTCAAAAAGGCAAGAGAAATAAATTTAAAAAGTATTTTTTGAGGCAGGGCTTTGCAGGGTCACTAAGTTGACCAGACTGGGGTTGAACTTGTGACTGTCCTGCCTCAGCCTCCCAGAGTACTAAGATTACAGGTGTGTACCATCACATGGGGCAGTTCTGTGCTTTTCAAAACTTAATTTTCCTTCCAAACCCCTTTCTTACAAAAAAAAATCTGACATAAAACTGACAAAATGTCCAGCTGACTCAGTACACTGCTCTGAAAGAGGAAGAGGGGGTGTCACACTTATCCACCAGTTTACCTCTAGGTGGGTAACCCCACCCCTAGGGGTTCCTGAGTTTCAAAGTCCTAGGGATCAACGGCTTGAGTGAGCCCCACATTTTGCAGGTGAAGGGACTGAGGACCAGCGAGTTGCAGCACGGACTTTGAACTCTTCTAGGCATAAAGAATCCCCTTGAAGTCTAGGACCTGGTCATTCTCAGCAGCTCAAAACCTACCCTGACGCTTAGCAGTGCAACACCCCACCCCACCCCAGAAATACCACAGTTTGACTTCCTGTCTTAATGCCACTTGACCTTTTCTCCAGGATCTCGAGAAGGAGAAGGAGAAGACACAGAATGCTCCTCAGAAGTGACAGGGCAGGCAGATGGGCAGTCAGGAGCAGCCCTGCGCCCACTGCAGAAGTGCTGTCCAGCTAGCAAGCAGCAGGGTCAGTGCACGGATCTAAGCAGTGCTCTCATGGCCAGAAGAGCTGTGTGGTCCAGGATACAGAGTCCGTGCTGATGTGTCAGCTCCGTCGTTGTGCAAGGCCCTCTCCAGCCTCCTCCCTCCCCACTGCTGCAAGATTCACTGGCCAGAGGAAGAGTCCTTCATCTCCTTTTGTAATAGAACCATATGGGTGTTTATAAGGCTTCTCCTGGCTTTTCAGAGGCAATACAGTGCAAGCACAATGCATCTTAATTGCCACTCCCCAGCCCCTTCAGAACAAATGGCAGCCGTGCCAACTCAGACAAGTCTGGCACCAAGCTGAAAAAGGCGAGGAGGAGCAGCGGGGATTTCTGTTTAAGTGCCCCAGACCAAACCGTTTGCATCTAAGGCTTTCTGTAGTGCTTTTCCCAGGCTACCTAAAACTATTTTTATATCCATCACTAACTCTATCTCAAGTCTGCCTAGAGGCAAGGAGAAGAAATACAATTAATTCAGTCTTTCTGAAGAAATGCAGCTCCAGCAATTCCAAGTCAAGGGGGGATTGGAGGAGTCCAAAAGGCAATCACCATCAGTTATCTTTTTTTTTTTTTTTTTTGGATGATACTGGGAATCAAATCCACAGGGGCTCTGCCACTGAGCTATGTCCCCATTTTAATTTGAAATACTATCTGTCTTGCTAAGTCACTAAATTGCCCAAGCCTGGATTTGCAGTTTAGAGCCTCCTGCCTCAGCTCACCTGCCCTCCAAATCCTGGGATTAGGAGCATGCTTTATGTCCAGCTACCATCAGCTATCTTATTTGTTTGTTTGTTTGAGACAGGGTCTCATTATGTGATTCAGGCTGGCCTTGAGCTCACCATGTAGCGCAAGCTGACCTTGAACTCTTGTTGATAAATGTTCCTGCCTCCTGCATACTGGGATTAAGGCTGTGCCACCACGCCCAGCTTCATCAGCTCTTTTAAAGGTCAGCTGCACTCTCTGTCATCATAACAATGGCAGTAAGTGTTTGTTTGGCCAAATGTTAAAAGCTCAAATCCCAGCTCTGCCATTTACTAGTCCTGTGACATTGGACAAGAGAATTGATCTCTGCTTCAGTATCTTTGTTTATAAAACGGCTAATAATAAAATGGTAGTGCCTGCTGCACAGCCTTGTTAAGGAACTAGATGGGTTACTTGCGTAAGAAGAGTATCAGCACTCACTAAGTGTTCAGTACAGTGGTGTTATTGTGTTTGTAGCACTTCCACACACATCATCCTTTCTTGGCAGTGATCTTGATCGCTTAATTTTCACACTAGATGTCTGGAAACAGCTTGGAATTGTGGGTAATGCCCAGCGTGCTTTATGGAGCACATCCCAAAGAGGCTAGTATACCAGGTATGGGTTTCCCAGCTCCGTCTCATCTGTGTGCTCCATGCCCTGGGAACACATTCTGCAAGGTCTCCTTTGCTCTGTAGTAAGTATGAATGGTGCCACCCAGCAAGTATGCTCTGTCCCTCTTCTGCCGCACAGCATCAGGCGGAATTATACACAGCGGTGCTGCGGCTCCAGCTGTTTATCTCCCCTTTGCCAAAGGCCAGTGGATATTTTGTGGAAAACCAACCCCAGGAGGTATGTGTGGGGAGCTCAGGAACTTAAGCTGTATCATTTCCGGTGCCCAAACTCAAGATGCCTTATAAAGTAGTATCAAAAAGCTGCTCATGAGTTGCAGTCTATTCTGGAGAAGCCCACCCGTGTAGCGCTACACACTGATGAGAACAGGGGGTTGCTGAGGTCTCCAGGCTCTGCTGTGAGGAAAATCTCTAGTTACCCAGCTCTGTGGTCCTCCTGAGTGTCTGAGTGTTTTCTGACCTATAAAACTGAGATAATAAAGGCACAGATCCCATAGGGCACTGTAAAATTTCAGTTAATTCACCCATTTGCCTAACACAATGATTGGCACACGCACAAGCCTAGGAAACTCAGGTTGTATTATTATTACCCACAGAGGCACGCCGCTAGGGTTTACTCCGCCCCTTTCTTTATACCCAGCAAGCTGTCCCTGACTGAAGGCAAGATGGGTCCAGGTGAAAGATCCGCGCTTGCTCACCCTGGTTCGAGTGTGCGACACCCGTTAGGACTTCCACTTCTTGGAGGTACTAGTAGATTTGTTCAGCCATCTCACTTATGGTCATTGTGCAGGGGCAATTCAATCTTTCTTTGAACCCACTTATTTACTTGAATTCATTTATTTGTTCACTCATGAAAATCAGCCCATTCCATTTCATATCCCTGATAATTAGAAAGGGTCCTCCTTTCTCTGGTCTCCTTTTCCTTCCTAGCTTTTCTTCTCTTCCTCCCTTCCAACCCAGTCCTCTCCTCTCTCAGATGCTGCCAGTTCCCAGAATCTGAGGTCCCACTTTTTCCAGAAATCTCTCGTCCAGTCTCTGGCCACGGTTACAGAGGGACATGGAGGGTCTTCGCTGTATACTCTCGACCTCCACTGGTCTTAACCCTGTGGGTTTTGCCGGATCTCTTGGAAGCAAAGCCTTGTACCGAGCCTTACGCTTGGCCTTGTTATCCATTAATATCATCCATCCCTGCACCGGATTGCCATTGTTAACCCGGTCAAGAATCGGGTTGAAATGGGTTGTCTGGAGTCCGAGGCCCGCCTAGGCCGACAGGCAAAGAGAGGGCCGGGGCGATGAAGCGACTCTTGGGAACCCAAGCACACAGGCAGTGTTCCCGGGTTGGGTGGCTCCGCCCCCCAGCCGCCCCGCCCCAGGCTCGAACTCGGCCCCAGCCGCCTGGGACAGCGCTGTATCTTTAAGAAAGGGGCGGGCCCCGGGGACAGGCACAGCAGGGCCAGCCCACAAGGCTCCCTTTCCTTTTAGATCCATTCAAAAATTACTCATTGCAAATTCCCGGACTGCTCGAGAGGCGAAGGAAGGGCTGGAGGAGAAAGGACTGCTGCGGGCGGCGCCGGGGGCTCCGGGGCCCGGCCGGAGGAGGCGGGTGGCGGCGGATCGCGCGGAAGCGGCCAGCGGGCGCCGGGCTCGGGTGGCCTCACCAGGAAGCGGCGGAGTCCGGACGCGGGAGGCTCGGGGCGCCCGCCGCCCCCACCGAGACCCGCGCCGCGCTGCGCCCCTGGCCCTGGGCGATGGCCGGGCTGTGAGCCGCGGACGGACGGCCGGCGCAGCCCCTCGGCATGGCCGCGCGCGAGGAGCTGTACAGCAAAGTCACCCCGCGGAGGAGCCGCCAGCAGCGCCCCGGCACCATCAAGCATGGCTCGGCGCTGGACGTGCTGCTCTCCATGGGGTTCCCCAGGGCCCGCGCGTGAGTGAACCCCGGCTTCGCCCCGGCTCGCCTCCCGTGCCCCGCTGCCCGCGCCCCGCTGCCCGCGCCCGGCAGGAGTCGGAGGGGTGCACTCGCCGGCGGCCCGGACTCCTCTACCGGCGCGGGCGCTGGGCCGGAGCGTGCTTTGGGATCCTTTGGTAAAGTGGGGGGCAGCGACCCAGGTTCGAGTCCCGGCTGGGGAGCCCCGCGTCCTGCGCCCCGGGCCCGCGGGGGAAGCTAGGCTGTCCTCTCGCGCCGAGCCTGGGGAGGCGGGGCCCTCGGCGCCCTCTGCACCCTCTCCCGCGGGACTCGGAGGGCTTGGGGTCGGCGGGGGGCTGGGACAGGGCAAGGGACTGCGGGGCGGAAGGTCGGCGCCCCCACTGCAGCGGCTTCCCGCTCCGGATGTGGCTCTCGGGCTCGGGCTCCCTGCGGAGTAGGAGGCGCGGGCGCGGGGGTGCTGCTGCGCGCTTGTTGATGGGGCGGAGGGAACCCGAGCAGCGATTCCTCCGGCGCCCTGGCTTCTCGTCAGTGGTGACGGCAGCGCAGAAATCTGTGGGTGCCTGAAAGTAAAGAGGGGGGCCGTCGTCCTTGCTTCTCCTTCCCCTCGGAGGTTGGACGAGGCTAGGGCAGAGAGCGCAGGTGGCTGTCGGGGCAGCCTGCTGGGAACAGGCCTGGTGGCCAAAACCGGGCGGTGGTGACAGCGCGGCCAGAGTCTTTGGAGGGGCTGGCGCCCCGCCTGGGGGGAAACCGGGGCGGGTGGCCGGCCCTTCTCTGCTTAACCCCTGATGAACAGATCTCCTAAGCTGGCACACAAGGCCTGGCATCCTGGACAATGCTGCTCCTTTAAGTAACATCCTCACCTGGACAGGAAAGCTGGGCAAAGTTTTATCAGACAAAAACTTCTGTTTTCCTCTTTTCAGGTGATAATGCTAAGTCTTCCTCCCGGATTCAGTCAATCTTGTTCGTTCTTCCTAACTTGACTCACCTCTTCCACAAAGCAGGCTCTTGAATTTATTGTTCCGCGCACTCTGCTGAGACGGGTTAAAGCTGTGTTAGCTAGTTTGGGGGAAAGACCGCAAGGCGAGCGGGAGGTTTCTGCTCCCAGCTGACTTCCAAGCATGGGAGCTGGATTCTGGACACCAGACTCCCGGGGAGAGGTGCTGGCCTCCACTGGAGTGTGTCAGGGAGGATGACAGCGTGCATAGCTGTTCAGATCTTCACAAAGGGTGTGGAAACCTTAGCATCATCCCAGGCATCTGCCTTTTGTGAAGAGAGGCTGGCGTTAAGGACCGAGTAGCCTAAGTAAGGGAGGACATCTTTCACGGAACGCCTTAGCCTTTCGTATTTGCTTGACGGGAAGATCTTTGCCTGCATGGTGTCTTGCGGCCTTGCCCCAGGTACTGGCAGGTTAGCAGGCTGGTCTCATTTTGGCTTGCTTAGCTCTTGCAGCCTTATGCTAAGTAGCCTTTATGGAGCCCTAACTACTACTGTCCTAAGCTCCTTATTCCTCGTTTTATTCTCCTGGCCACTTAATGGAGAAGGCACTACCTGCCTGTTTGTGAACTGATCAGCTGAGGTTTAGACAGGTCATGTAACTTGCTTGAGGTCACAGTAATGAGCCGTGAGGCTGGGATTGCGTCTGCATGGCCAGGCCTCGAATCTAAAGCCAGGATGTAATGATTTGATGTGGATAAAATGCTCAGAGCAGATCTCAGCACAAATGAGCACTCATGAAGTGTCAGCTACTGTATTTGTTTCCCATGGCTGCTGTGACAAAGGGTTACAGACCAACTTGCTTAAATCCACAGGAGTTTATTCTCACATTTCTGGGGATCAGAGGTCTGCAATTAGTATGGCTGGGCAGAGATGCAGGTGCAGCCAGGCCTTGCTCCCTCTGGAGGCTCTTGGGAGAATCCTTTTCCTACTTGTAATTTCTGAGGAGTTTGGCTTGTGGTCACCTTTTCCCAGTCTCTGCCATTATAGTTATGTTGTCTCTTAGTCTCTGCCATGTCTCCCTCTGCATGTCTCCATAGGGTACCTGTAGTGCTCTAGTTATTTATATATTTGTTTGTTTGAGTTTTTAAAGATAGTGTCTTGCTATGAAGTCCAGGCTAGCCTCGAACTAGGCGATTTTCCTCCTGTCTTGGCCTCCGGAGTGCTGGCGTTACAGGTATGCACCACCATACCTGGCCCCAGTATTTTTTTTTATTTTTTTGTCTTTTTGAGACAAGGTGTCGATATGCAGTTCAGACTGGCCTTGAGCTCAGTTTGTAGCCCAGGCTGATCCTGAGCTCACAATGATCCTCTTGCCTCAGCCTCCCGAGTGCTGGGATTACAGGTCTGCACTGCCATGCCTGGCACAACCGGGGCAATTTAGCAGGTTCTTGTCTCAAAATAAGTAAAAAGGGCTGGGGCTTAGCTCGGTGTAGAGCATTTGCCTAACACATGTAAAGGCATGGGTTCAATCTCCAGGACTGTAAAAAAAAAGAGAAAGAAGAATATGTATGACATGATTATACTTCCGGTCTGCTCTCCCCCATCTTTTTTTTTTTTTTTTTTTGGTAGTGCTAGAGATTGAACCCAGGAGTCCTCTACCACAGAGCTACAGCTTCAGCCCCTTTCAGAATTCTTATTTTGACTCCCAGGTGAAAGTGGAACCTGTGATCTTCCCGCCTCAGCCACCCTCAGAGGTGGGATCATAGGCATGGACCACTGTGCCTGGCTATGAAGCCTTGTCTTTGTCTTGTAGGCAGCGGTCACAGGTTCTGGGAACTAAGATGTGAACATCTTTTGGGGGAGTCATCATTTAGCTCATCACAACTGCTATGATTATTCCTAATGTGGCCTCTCTTTATTGCAGACGTAATCGAAAAAGCCTAGGGAGAAGGAGTAGAGTTTGCTGGGATTGTGTGTGTGTGCGTGTGTGCATATGTGTGTGTGTGTGTGCTGTATGTTTGTGGTTGGGAATTGAATCCAGAACTTTCACACTGAGCCACGTTCTCAAGGCCTTTTAATTTTTTGAAACAGTGTCTTCCTAAGTTGTTCAGGCTGGCTTCAAACTTGGGCTTCTACTGCCTCAAGCTCCTGTGTTGCCGCCATTACTACCCACATGGGCCCTGGCTGGGTTTCCTGCTGTATTTTAAATTCTGCCTGGAAGGGCGCAAAGCTCTTGAAGGGTCACCTAATCTAGCTCAGTTACTTGCAAGGGCTTGGATCTTCTCTCCCCTCGACACTGGAAGGCTGCTGTGGTTGGCCTTCCCTTTAGTAACTTAGCTTGGGTCGGGAAGAAGAGAGGCCATCTGAGGTTCTAGACAACAGACTTACACTCGATTTTGGGTTTTTTTTTTTTTTTCCTTGCGTCAGAGTCTATTATACACAGTAGTTCAGGCTGGCCTTCAACTATGCCTTGAACTTGTGAACTTGACTCCTGGGCTGTCCGTCCTGGCTGCTACCACTCTCTCAGAAGGTCCTGCTTGGGGCAGAAGTCTCATTCCTACCAAAGGGTCAGTGTAAGGCAGCAGCAAGAAGAGACACTCGGCCTGGGCTTGGCTGGGCTGCAAGAAGACAGGGCTTCAAGGCAGGAACCCCTTCCAACCTGTGCAGTGCTGGGGCCTTGGGAAGTCACTCAGGCCCCATCAGGGCCACATGCTCACTGAGCGTATGCTTGTTAAGCACTTGGCAGAGCTGAGAGCTGGGACAGCAGGGCCAGGCATTAGCGGGGTGACCTGCAGGCTGCTCTGTCTAGATCATTACTCCCACAGAGCTGGGCTGGGCTTCCTCCTCCACGTGAACGTCCATCCCGCGTGGGGTGCAGAAGAACCTGCACATGGGGAAGGGTGGCGAAGCTGCGGTTTCACGGGGTGCGTGTGTGTGAGAGTGAGGGAAGGGGTGGCAGGGACGCGGCAGGAAGGAAATTTTCAAGGGGCCAAAATGGCCTGTCCCTTCCTTTTCTTTCTATGTTCCTTAGCACTTCCCCTTTCCGAAAGTTCTAAAAATAAAATTGTAGCTTCCTCCAGGCCGGTGAGGTGGTGGGAAGGAGGGGGCAGAGCAGGCTGGAAGAAGGCCTGAGGAGGAGGAGGCTGTGGGCCAGGACAGGGCTGAGTGCTGTCCACCCAGGAAGGTGGGACGGGAGCCCCGACGCAACCGGCTTCAGGCCAGAGCAAGGGTCCCCCGCCAGCCTCTGTGGCCTCGCTTCTGTAGCTTGGGGCCAATGACTTGCTGCATAACTGAACCTAGGAGTCTCTGCTAACACAGCCCTGGCCTGCGTTTTATTTCTATTTATTAAGGCCGCCTGGGCTAGAACTTCCTTTGTTGGCAGCAAATGGGTTGCATATGTTTCCTAGTGGCCAAGAGAGATAATAATAATAATCTTGGGGCTTCGGGGTGTAGCTCAGTGCTTGCCTACCGTGTGGCAGGCCCCGGGTTCCATCCCCAGGACTGGGTTGTAAAAATAAATAAAAATGAAATCATCTTGGGAAGAGGCCTGGGAGGGGTCAGATACCAAAATTCCAGCTCAGATTTGTCATTTGAAGCTTTTGCCTCCTCTTCCTCGTTTCCTGGATGGGCCTCTGTGCTGTTAACTCGGGAAGCTTTGCCAGGGGAGAGGAAAGATACGGACCATTAATGCTGGATTTTGGCGCTGGATATGATAGGGCTGTTGGGTTGACTGGAAGACAAGCAAGGAGGTGAGAGACGGCGAAGGCATCCGGGAGGATTTGCATGTACTACTGTGTTGGATTGTCTTTTTTTGTATTCCTGCTGAGAATATTTGAACCCTGTGTAGTACAAGAGGAAGACAGTGGCAGAAGGAAAGAGCTGGGCTAAGCGCCTTGGATGTAGCTTTGGGAAGGAAGCGGTTTTAGCTCTGCCCCACTGCTGGAAGGTAAAGGCAGCTCCAAGCTGGTGCAGAAGGAGTCGAGAAGCAACCCACAGAGCTCATGGATTAGAGTTCCCAAGTATTTGACTGTTTGCAGCTTACCTGTTGGCTGCCATTGGATCCT